CATAGAGTTACTCCACATTAAAAAATTCACTATGAAAATTAGAATAAATAAGTATAGATTCCTACTCTCTCTCTCTCTCTCTCTCTCTCTCTCTCTCTCTCGTACACACATGCATATTGCTTCTCTTCTCACTTACAATGTTCACACACATTAAACAAAAGATGAGAGCTTCTATATACCACCAAGGGACGCCACACTTGAGAAAAATAAGAAACATAATTGTTCAGTCCCCCTCAAAGCACTGCGGTACCAATTTGAGCTTTACGACGCTCAACACTTTTCCTCAAATCCACCGAACAGTACTGCAGCGTTGAATTTAGTGTGCTGCAGCGCTCCGCTCTCTGTCTTTAACTAAAGGAAAGTCGGCAATTTACGACAGACTTTACAGCAATTTTTTTTTTGTTAAAATGACAACGGATTTGCGACGAAAATTTTTTGAAGATTCTTTTGCGTCTGATTTGCAGCGGTATTTTCTTAGCTACTTTTTGGCGTAAATGGATGTCTTCAATCCGCCGCAAGCTAGGATATAATCTAATTAAAAAAAAAACTTTCTATTGTGTTTTGTCTCCTAGGCCAAGCAAAGAAGGAAGTTGTTTAAACAATATTGTAGGTTTGAATCCAAGGCAGGCCGGTCAGGCGCTTGGGCTAGGCAGTAGACAATCAATCATGAGCTCGATTTGGTCGGAGAAGAGAGGGTTAATTTTGATTCTATCGCTGACATTTGGTCTACCCAAGAAACAACATTTTAATCCTCAAATAGATCAAAAGTTATTCAATTAAAGAACTCTCTTCACAACATCTCACTCAAGAATCAAATCATTACTCAATACTTGTCCGTAATCAAGGTTATGGTTGATCAGATCTCTGCCTCGGATTCGTCCGTTGACACTGAGGATGTGATTCTTTACATCCTCAACTGACTCCCACCCTCCTACCAATCGTTTAAAACGGCTATACGCACCATGCTGACTCCCATCTCTCTCGATCAATTGTACTCCTTATTAATCAGTGAGGAAATCAATTTGGCCTCCGACACCGCTCGCTCCACTTCTCATCCGGACTCCAACACCGCATTGTTTGCGACCAGAGGAAGGGGTCGCAAGTTTCGTGGAAGATACTTGCAATTACACAACAATGCCACTCGACCATCTCATAATTCTACTGTCATCTATCAAATATGCTCCAAGAAGGGGCATTCGCCTCCAAGCTGCTGGCACAGGATGGACGCGAACTACACACCCACCCCCGCGACGCCTCAGAACAAAGCTCTGGTTGCCGGAACAGACATCAACTACTCCAGCTGGTATCTTGATTTCGGGTCGACATCTCATCTAACAAACTCGTTAGACAACATGTCCATCTCCACTCCTTATCAAGGCTCCAATAACATCACCATTGGCGACGGGAGAATGGTTAGCATAACCAATTCTGGTACAAGCTTGTTACCTACTCCCTCTCGTAAGCTCTCTTTACAACAAAATTTTCAAACTCCATCTTTATACTATAACTTATTGTCTATATCTAAACTAACGAAAGACAATAATATTTCTATAACATTTGATCCCACGGGTTTCTTGTTGAAGTACATGAAGACTCATCAAGTGTTGCTTCAAGGACCATGTGACAAACACCTCTACCCCATTCAGTTTCAGCAACCTCAACAAATTCAGCATTCACAACTACCACATCTCGACTTCCTCCTAGCACAATCGTCTTGGTCATCCCAATGATCGCGCTCTCTCTATTTTAGCTAAATGTAATCCAAATATGGACATTCATATTAGTTTTTTTTCTTTTTTTCTTGTAAGGAATCTAAAGGACACAAACTTGTGTTTGATAACTCTACCACACGTCATAAATATGTCCTCTCTCTTTTTCATTCTTATGTCTGGGGTCCAACACCCGTGATGTCTGTTCAAGACTTTAGATATTACGTTCTTTTCGTTGATGATTTTTCTCGCTTTACCTAGATTTTTTCAATGCATAACAAATCTGAGGTTTTTAAAAAAATGTTGAAAAATACACATCGCAGCACATCAAAATTATGAGAACTGATGGTGGCACTGAATTTCTAATTCATAACTTCACTCAATTCTTGCTTGATCAGCGTATCACTCATCAAGTATCTTGCCCCTATACTCCTTAGCATAATGGAGTCGCATAACGCAAGCACAGACATATCATAGAAACCACCAGGTCTCTTCTCAAGACGGCTTCGGTTCCATACAAGCACTAGTCGAATGATGTTCTCACTTCCGTATATCTTATTAATCGCATGCCTTCAACCATCAACAAAAATATCTCACCTTTCGAGTTATGGTACAAAGTTAAACCTGAATACAAACATCTTCGAACATTCGGATGTGCGTGTTTTCCGTTATTACCACCGCAATAGCACCACAAATTTCAATCCAAAGCGAAAGCCTGTGTGTTTCTTGGCTATTCATATACTTACAAAGGATATAAGTGTTTCGATACGTCCACCAACAAAATCACTCTCTCAAGACATACCACGTTTGATGAATTTTTTTCCCTTTAGCACATCTGAACAAGTCTCCACGGACAAGCCCAATGAATCGTCTCCTCTATTCCTTACACCCATTTCCATCACGACTGCGTCTCAGAAGCACAACCCGAACGAAACATCTCCTATTTCTCAAACTTCCAATCTCCAGTCTCTCAATTCTCACCCATCTCAGGCTAACCCAACGGAACAATCCATTCAATCTCCCAGCACTTCCCATATCGTGCCTTCTCACCCCATGGTCTCCAGAGCCAAGACGGGCTCTCTAAAATCTGTAGTTTGCCTAAACCTCTTACACTTTCAATCCTCTCTTAACTCCGATGAATCCCCCACCACGTACGCTGAAGCTATCAAATATCCTGAATGCCGCTCCGCCATGGCCAATGAATTCTTAGCTCTCCAACAACAAGGAACCTGAAATTTGGTCGAGCCTCCTACCAGCTCGTCGATCCTAGGCTGCAAGTGGACATACAAAACCAAACTTCATGCCGATGGATCGATTGCCAAATATAAAGCGCGTCTGGTGGCCCAAGGCAATCATCAAGAATTTGGTTTGGATTATACTAAGACGTTCAGTCCGGTAGCTAAATTACCAACTATAATAATTCTACTTATTGTTGCTCTTTACAATAACTGGCAGGTTAATCAGCTTGACGTGGCAAACACTTTCCTTAATGGCAAACTATCGGAAACGATATACATGTCTTAGCCAAAAGGGTTCGAAGATCCAAACTATCCAACTCACGTCTGTCATCTTCACAAGGCCATCTACGGCCTAAAACAAGCTCCAACACAATGATACAACATATTCACAGAGTATCTTGTGTATATTAGATTCGTTCACAGCAAAGTCGATCTGTCACTCCTCATATTTCGTCAACAACAAAGTCATATTTTTCTTCTTATATACGTGGATGACATTCTCATAATGGGCAACAATCAGGACATCATCTCTTCAGTCCCCACCAAGCTTGGTACAACCTTCTCTATGAAACATATGGGCCCAATTTATGATTTTCTTGGCATAAAGTTTGACAAATACAAAGGTATGTATTTTCAATCCCAAAGGAAATATGCTCTAACACTACACCAAGCTGAACTTTCACAATGCAATCATCTATCCTACCCGACATGTATTAAAGTTCCCAATACTTTCTCACAAGTTGCATTTTTTTTTCCATCTACCGTCTCATACCCATCAGTACAGTCGACCAAGTTGCATTTTTTTTTCCAAAGCTCTCTCTACACCTAGGTTCAACAAACTACGACTCCAACTAACGATCTCTCAAGACCCATCAATTTGCAGGGGTGTATTAGTACACAAAAAATAGTAAATAATGTATTCTCCTTACTGCTTACGTGGCAGTCTGGCATTGGATCGCTTGTAACAAATACCACTTCCTATGTCTTTATATACTTGTATATACATCTGATTTAAGAGAGCTTATATTTTCCATTTACGATTCTCTCTCTCTCCCTCTACTTCTTGTTCTTTCATGTCTCCGTATTTTCGTTTCTTCATATTTGAATGCATGTGGTGACTCCATCACTTGGCGAATTATAAAAGATGGCGCCAAGGCTCTCCGTCCTACTCTCAGGTGGTGAATCAATAATGGTATCTCTGTCCATTTGACTCAGGATGTTTGGACTTTGGATTGTAGATAGAGTGTTAATTCATTGGCCTATGTTCGATGTCTTCAATAGTTTGGAGAGAAAATCTATCGTTGCCTTAGCATTCGAAACTTGCTACAAGGATCCTAGTCACCCCTTCTATTGGATTGCAAAGCTCCACCTGCACCTGAGGGAGAAACATTACTGCTCACTATGCTAAGCTTCATGAGTGCCTGTTGATACTCAGCAAATGAGTATTCATATTCGCATTTTTCAGTCTTTGATGAAATTATTTTTTGCAGACGTCAAACATCAATCAAAGACCAACCAAAATGTATCATGTTGCCCCTTGCTCAGTATCTGACTCGGTATTGCTCCATACCGCAGCTCGGTACTGCTGACATGGCACATTCTAGTTGTTCTCCGAACGATAAACTACATTCAGCTTCCGCACAGAATAATTTCTCGGTTAGCTGGAGAAAGCGATAAAGTGAAACCTAGCCATGGGTCGTATGTATTATTTTGTTGTTAGCAAGTGTGTTGGGCTCGAAATGTTTTCAAGCATGGACAATTATTGGTCTCCAACTACTCTTGCTACTACTGTTCTTGCTACTTTGCACCCTCATAGATTAACAATTCTGGAGCACTGGGACTCCCAACAAACCTCCAAATTGGATCAAGGTCAACACTCACATCTCCCTCGCTCTTTCGGGCTGTGTTGGGATTGGTGAGGCTAGTAGAGATGATAAAGGTCAATTGGTGATGGCCATGGGCAAACAATATAAGAGCTTCATTTTTTATTTTTTAAATGCAAATATAAGTTTCAAGAAGAGAACATTATTATACAATAACATGGATGCAAAAACATGCCCTTCAAAATAAAGGGAGAAAAAACAAAAAACAAAACATGCCCTTTAAAAATTAAAAAAAAAATAAAAAAATCTTCCTAAGATGACAACTGTGGACCACTCCATCACCACCAAATTAAAAAAAATAATAATAATCAGCGATTTGACTGTTCAAATAATATCACACGTCACCATGACGATCACTGCTCACGTACGGCGGGGTCCACGCAGTCGATGACCCATACAGGGAACTCGAAGTTAGCAACGAGCTCATACTACTCAACCCACCGCTTCCACCCTCGTGACGGGCAGGCTCAGCCGCCGGCCACATAAACGCCGGCTTAAACGCCGGAACCACCGGTGGCGAAACCGACCCTGCCAATATCTGTATGATAACTCCAGCCTTCGGCCTCTCACCCGGCAACGGGTGGCTACATGCCAGGCCAAGCAGCAACATCCGGCGAGCCTCGTCGGCGACGAAATTTCCCTCTAGCTTCTCATCGACGGCTTCCAGGATTCTTCCATCTCGATGCAAAATCCATACCCAGTCGACTAGAAAGTTGAAGTTGGACAAGTCTGTGCAGCGGGGACGGCGGCCGCAGACGAGCTCGAGAAGGAGGGCGCCGAAGGCGAATAGATCGGACTCGCGGGTGGCCTTGGCGGTGTGGAAGCACTCAGGGGCAATGTAGCCTAGCGTGCCTGGGACTCCGGCGGCCTCGAGCTCGGCGTATGAGGTCTTGTCAGTGTCCAGGACGCGGGCAAGGCCGAAGTCACCAAGTCGGGCGTGGAAGGCGGCGTCGAGCATGACGTTGGAGGACTTGAGGTCGCGGTGGACGACACATTCGTCGTATTCGTGGTGGAGATAGTGTAGGGCGGAGGCCACGTCGGCTGCGACCTGGATGCGGCGGTTCCAGGGGAGGACGAACTGGCCAGCGGTGGAGCCGCCGTAGAGATGCTGGTCAAGGCTGCCGTTTGGCATGTAGTCGTAGACGAGAAGTAGGACGCCGTTTTCGTGGCACCAACCTGACGCACGGTTGCCTTGTTAGTCATACTTCTATGTATATTTAGTTAACTGATATATGCGCGTTTTAAATTAAAATAACTAAATAAGTTTAAGGTGCATACTAATTAAATAATTAAAAAAAAAAAAAGCAAATACACAGAAAGCAAAAAAAAAAATTACATAATCTAAATTTGAAATTTTTTTCTCAAAATAATCAATTTAGAACGAATAGACATGCATTTCTCGAGCAGTAAAAATTGTTTCAGTAAATGATATTTTTAGTAAAATTTATTGGTTAAAGTGTTAAACAATACAAGTTTTTAATGTTATAAGAAAATAATTTAAAATATCTTTTTTGAAGATCAATGGCAGTTCTTTCAAACCAAGCCATTAATATTGATGAAGATAAATCAAGAAATAAAGAAAGAAGAAGAGATTGAACATACCAAGCAGGCGAACAAGGTGCTTGTGCCGGAGTCGGTTGATGACAGTGAGTTCCTTTAGGAAGTCATCCTGACTGTTCATATTATCCTCCCTTGAAAATTTCTTCACAGCCACCTCTGTCGCCTCGCCGGCGATCACCCCCTTGTATACGATGCCAAACCCTCCCTGACCCAGCTTCATCCTTTCATCGAAGCCGTTGGTCGCCTTCCTCAGTTCCTTGTACTCGAACTCCCTAGGCATCCCCGGCAAGCTCTTCAGCGTTCCGGCTAACGCGCTCGGATCCACCATCGCCTTCTTCTCCCTCTTCCTCCGATTCTTTGAGTACCATAATGCCGTCGCGGTTCCTGCCACCACAGCGAGCACAACCACTCCAGCCGCTATACCAGCCGCCACCTTCCACCCTGTTCCCGCCGGAGCAAACACTACTTTTCAGCTCTAAGTACGTAGATTAGAAAAAAAATTGCTTCAATGAAACTTAACTCTATTACTTTACTGTTTGACGCTGGAATTAATTGATCCATTTTAGGTGTTGATGAATTTGCTGTGATTCTATTAATTATGCCACTACTATAGGGCTTTTATTGATTTTGTGCTCGTAATTGAACTGCTTTTTAATTGGATGTGAAGCTCGAGCTCTGTGATTTGTTGCGAAATGAGTGGTTCATTAATAAAATTTAGCTTATAATTTCATAAGGATATTGTATAAGGTATGGATTTTATTCTAAATTATTTCTAAAAAATAAAAATCAAATTTGAGCTCAGATGCAGAATAACCAGAGATAGCAATTATGCAAGTTGAGGTAAATTAATGATGACAATGACAAGTATAAGCCCGGTGGCAGACAAGCAAATTTACGTTTCATTCGATCTGTCATGATTCAGTTGAAAAGGAAATCAAACAGCCCCAAAATGGATTTGATATAATCAGATTTTAAACAATTAATCTAGAATTATAGAACCATGCCTACCTCCTTTCTTGTCTTCATCGTCCAGGTTCTCAACCGTCAGAGTCCAGTCTAACACGCAGTTAAGCTCGTAATCCTTCGCACCTGTCGCAGCTGCGAACCCGAAATACGAGTCCTGATTCACATAACGGCTAAGATCCACCTTCCCCGCAAGCACCGGTTTCTCAGGCTTCGGCTCCCCCTTTCTGGTCATATAAACCCCGATCGCCCCTTGCCTGCCATCATAATCAATCCACACAGTATAATTCACCGCCTCGACCGGCGCGATCTGGATCCCAAACGGCGTTAATGAAGCCGAAATTTCCGAAGTCACCCCGTTGATGTCGAGCCCCACATGGTTGTCGTCGGGATCGTACGCCTGTTTCACTGTATCGAACTCGACGGCAACGATCCGATTCGACGATCGGCCGTCGGTCGTGGAGTTTGTGAGGCCAAGGAAGCCGCCGTAGCTTCCGGGTGGGGGGCCGTCCGCATCGGGAGCAATGATGAAGGCCAAGCCCTCGCCGGTCGGTGTGGTGTTACTGGGACGGTAGATATTTATGGAGAAAGAGGTGTTGAAGGAGGCAGTGCGATTAGATTCCCAGAGGCGGAAGGAACGGGAGTAGAGGATGCGGCCAGAGCGGTTGAGGAGATAGGCGAGGTCATTGATGGTGTCCGGGGTGATCTGGAGGGCGCCTTGACTGACGCTAGCGTCTGTGGAGAAGTCGAAGTTGTTGCTGGTTGAAGAAGGAAAGGAGGGGAAGGAGAATGAAAAGTAATTGGAGGGGCTAGAAGAAACGAGGAGGTGAGAAGTAGAGAGAAAGAAGAGGAGGGAGAGGAGATTGAAGGAGAAGAGCCGCATGGAGTTGGAATCGGAGAAATGACGGGCTTGAGATTGGGAATTTGGGATGAGAGTCTGCCGCCCACGAGCATTAGGGTCCTGTTTTTAAAAGGGAAGGACTAATCAGTGCGTTCGCAGTTTATATTAACAACTTCGGATGGATCGATGTTGCTTATATTGCTGATTGACTCAGCTTCGTTTGGATCATTTTTTTTATTATTTTTTAAGTAAGTTTTTAATTTTTGTATTAAAAAATTATTTTTTAAAACAGTACAAAAAAAACATGACTGATAGAGACTTCAATTTTCTTTTCTATTTAACTTTCCTTAGGATGTCTAATGGAAAAAAATTGAAAAGTGGGATTAACATACGAAACATTTACATCATAGATTTTTTAAAATCTAACATACAAAAGTATATATATATATATATATATTGTTGCGGGCTATAATATATGCGGTGGTAGAGGTAAAAAGTATTCATCTTAGCGTTGTACGGATATTCAACACACAAACCGAAGATAAATAATAACACCAAGATTTTTACGTGGAAAATCCTAAAAGGAGAAAAACCACAGGGCCACGCCCAGTTGAAAGATTTCTTCTAATGTTTGTTTGAAGTATAAGAAGCTGATTCATCCTTAAAATTTAGGATGATCAATTTACAATGTTTCATTTTCGGATTGAGATCTAATTACAATGTCGGGTAGAGTTCCAGCGTCGTTCAGAAGTCAGGCAGAATTCCGGCGTCGTTTGGGCTCGTTGGATTCGTCTCGTCGAGCCGCTCTATTCGACTAAAATAACGTCATATTTGGAAACCATTTGGTCTCGAATTATGGTTTGAACTTTCCAACATCGCTTCGGGTCCTTGATTTGGACTCATTTGGGCTCGGATTGAGTTGAATTTGGTGTCATATGGCCTCAGTTGCCTGATTACGATTCTATCGACCAAACAAATAAGCTTGCGTTCTCTTAAGTCATACGAATAACTCTCATGTCATTTGATTCTTCCAAATCCAAATATGTAATGTGCTTTATATGATTTATATTTGCTACATTGTGCCAATGCCTTTCCCCGCTGAAATGTGTACTTTGTAACCAACGACAAAAACTAGTTGATCATTTTAGCTAGGTTAAGCCTTGTGATTTTTTAACTTTTTAGAAATTTTCATGTAAAAATTCTAATCTCTCTTGTGATTGTTGTATCCCTTCTACTTTATATGTATGTCCGTTGGATATTCGTTCAAACCAAAGCCTTTAAACTTTGTTTATCTCCCTACTACCACAAATGCTCTTGCGCTCAATAATTTTAATGATGAGGTTGCAAAAATCTTCTCTCCATGCTTTAAATATGCATGACTTTTGAACTTATATATGGCTAAAATAATTCTCTCAATGTCTATAAACAAACTTACATTCAATTTATTTTAAATACTTCTCAAAAATTGTTGGACTCATTATCATATCGATGACATCCTATTTATAATACACATTGACCTAGTTAGCACATGAAAAGAGCTATGTATTTGTGTGCACACATTATTATTATTATTTTTTTGTTAAACCAAATATATTTGTATATTTGATCGATATGAAGCCTCTATAAATATCTCACAATGTTATTCTAGCAAAAAAGATAATCTCTAGATGGTTGAACATATGATTTAGGATCATAGACCACGAATAATACATAATCTGATCATGGCTTTGATTTCTTGAGTGAATTAATTTCAACCAAAAGTTGAAATACTAAAAAATGACTAAAATGTAGGGGTGTCAATTTTTGACACGACCTGAAACACGATCCAAACCTGACTCGAAAAAATTCGGGTTAGGGTCAACCTGATCCCGAAACGGGTCGTGTTCGGGTTCAACAAATCAACCCGTTTAAAAAATTGTGTCGGGTTCGGGTTGACCTAGCAACCCGAAAATGACCCGAAAATGACACAAAAACTCCTATTTGACCCGAAAACCCGAGATTGACCCGTTTTGAGCCAATTTTGACTTGACCCGATTTTGATCCAAAAAACTAGGTAAACTTCGGGTCATTCGTGTCGGGTCGGGTTGGCTCAGACCCGAATCGGGTCTTGTTCGGGTTCGAAAACTTGACCTGTTTTTAAAAACGGATCAGGTTCGAGTTGACCCGAATGGTGTCGAGTCAGTTCTGAGTTCGATCCGAACCCGACCCGTTGACCCGAATTGACACCCCTACTAAAATGACATAGAGGCCCAAAGGGATAGAGAGAGAGAGAGAGAGAGAGAGAGAGAGAGAGAGAGAGAGAGAGAGCTAATAATTAATATTTGTTTAATAATTTAAGTATATTGATAAATAAAACATAACATATGAAATGAAAAACATAATTTTTCCCCCTTTTCCCGCGTTGACTTCTTTCTATATTACTAGTCCAAACATAAAAGAAACTTGTGCGAAGCCGTGCTACCAATGCACGTGTTGACTGTATAATTCGAATCTGTACCTAATATTGGAAAGCCATGAGAAAGTAGCTGAAACGTATTCTTTACATCAGAGGGAGGCACCAATATTTCTGTATAAAAAAGAATCTGCAGGTGAATAATTTCTTTGAATGCTCTATCAAACCGATCTCTTGTTGCTCTGCCAGAAACACGCTCCTAAGCATCGCATGTGAAAATATATTTTGGGGTCAGCACTCAGCACCGACCCATAATCGTGAAGATCGAAGACCATTAAGCATAAAAGATGAGACAAGATGACACCTGTGAAGATCTCGATCAGTTCAGACTTCAGAGAGGATGTGAGATTTTCTGTGAAGTAGCACTAAAGCAGCATTTGCGAAGTGGAAACCACGTCTTCGGTTGTCGCTTCGCCACTTTGATCTTCTTTTACGGACGTCGTATGGAAGAAAGACAAAATTACATATGGGAACAAAAATGTTAAGAAGGAAAAATCATTTTTCTAACTCTTGAGTCAACGTGTCTGTTCTGTACCTTTACTAACAATGGTACTTTTAAAATTTATTTTGGAGAGAATTGCTCTCTGAAAAACTCTAAATTTTTTTCCAGTAGGATCTATGCACCAAAAGGAGCTTCTAAAGAAGCTCAGGCAATTTTAATGAGTAAGGTTTCATTTGGGACCATTTTTTGCTATTATTTTTTTTACTGGTTTAAAAAAAAAAAAATTGTACTAAAAGTTTACTTTAGAAAGCTTAAAAAAAATTATAACAAATAAAATGTTTGAAGTAGGGCTGTCAAAATCGGGGTGATCCGTGACCCAAATTTGACCCGACCTTTTTTGCAAACGGGGCAAGTATTTGAACTCGGACCTGACCCGTGGACACGGCAACTATGGCAGTGACACGACAGCTCTGGTAGCGGCACGGCAAGGAGCGATAGTGACACGGGAGAATCATGATTGATTTTAGAGGTGCATAGCAATATATGAAGAGGAAGATCCTCTCGATCAATAGAAATCCTAAAGAACCACCAGATATGAAGAAGAAGAGCCAATCGAACGAAGAAAACCAAAAAAAAATAACCGCCTAGGGTTTGCAAGAAACCCGAAACTCTCTCATCTCCTCGCGATCGGACGCCTTTTCTTCAAGCTCCAACCATCCAATAACCAACGTCGAGTCAAACTTCTTAAGCCGTCTGCCATAGGTCTTCTCTTCTCAAAATCGCTACAGTAAAATATCCCGAAAAAGATTTGAGCTGCCGAAATCTTCAAATGACAATGCACAAAAAAAAGTCTCAACACTCATGCAAGTTAGCACATGTCGTCGCCAGGGATGGTGGCAGGCATTAACCCAAAAATCCTAATCATGTATACGCTTAATTTTGGGGCATGACAGGCTTTTTCCACCATTTTTGGACCCCATTTCCTTTTCTATGTTTTGGGTTTTTTTTTTTTTTGGGAAATTTGGGGCAGAAGCCCTTCTATTAATAAGGAAAAATTACATGTAAAAAAAGCTTATCCCAGAAAAACGGAAGAAGCTCAAAAAAAGACAACAAATGAAAAAAAAGAGAAACCTATACCACCAGTAAACCTAACCAATGAAACCAACAAAATGTGGTATACAAAATTTGATCATGACTCAGGCATGTGCTGCAACAAAAGACGAGGGACTCGGTCATCGAAATGGACGGAAATGAACCCCTGGTTGCCGTAAAGACCCTCCAAGTGGTTGGTGCTGCAGCGGTCATCATTGTCCTGCAAAATTGTCTGAAATAACCAAAAAAACCTATCTTCCAAAGTAACCCAGTGGCCATCCAGTAAATACATCCAGCAAAGGAACCAGCAAATGAGGCAGCCCCCAACAGTTAATACAAAAACATCCATGGACCAATTGCAAGGAGCACGAATTACCCCAAAAGATATAATAGGTTGCTGCCATTTTTCCATCTCCCCAATTTAGCATGAACTACATATTTAATCTTTCTGATCACAATAGTGTGACATTCAATATTGTTGCCAAAAATTCTGTCATTACGAGCCCGCCAAATGTAGTAAATAGCAGTATTTACTATAAGGCTATAGAAATTCAGCATATCAGAAGAGTCCGATAGGTTGTCAATCAAATCAAAAACTTGGAAAATGTTCGGGCGGAGAAGTAAAGAATCAGCATGGGTAATCAGTGTACATAGAATCTTAAAAGAGAAATCACACTCAAAGAAGAGATGGGAATGTGATTCTCTACCAACCAAGCAAAAGGTACAGAGTGGATTAACTTTGATACCCCGCATAATCAACATGTCTGCCGTTTTTAGCCCACTCTTAACAGCCAGCCAACCGAAAGCCGAAAACCTGATTGCCGAATGCTTATGCCAAACAAAATGATGCCAATTCAACACCGGATAATGCCTATAAAATTCCTTCCTAAAAATTTTGTTAGAGACTTTCTCTGAATTTGCCCAAAGACAACCATAACCACTATCAGAAATGGGGACAGATTTTATGATATTCGTTAAAGCAGTAGGCCAGCAACTAGGTAAATTCCAGCTATCATTCATTACAACAATAGACACAGTCTCCCTGTTGAGGTTCTCCATCCAGCTCTCATTAAAATTAGAACCAGCCAACTCAATGATGGATTTGCCTTGGCACCAGGGGTCCCAAAGGAGGGAATGGTGACAATTAGAGAGAATC